TGTATTTGGTCAATACTAGTGAAAAACAGTGTTTTGTGATTAAATTCTGTTTCTGAAGGATGTGGAGTCCTACATCCATCGCTCGGGGCGCACGGGCCGCGCCGGCCGCACTGGGATCTGCATCTGCTTCTATCAGCGCAAGGAGGAGTACCAGCTGCGACACGTGGAGCAGAAAGCGGTATGGCACAGCTTGCTTCTCACTGCCACACTCCTGTTTGTTAAACTGCACTTTATGGGGCACCCAGAGGAGCCTTGGGTACCTCCAGGAGTGGCTGCAGTGCTCAGCACAGCAGGGAGAGCACTACAGATTCTAACACCTACTGCTTTTCTGCAAATGCCACTAAGGTTGTCCTTGTGGGAATGAGAAAAAACTCGCAGTGTTTCTGTGTGGTGTTCACCCTGGTTATCATCTGTCAGTGATGTGCATATGTGCAGCTCTCCTGAGAACTGTTACTTGCATTTTTGCACTTTGTGCAGTGTTCCATATGCTAGTTTCCTCAACAATTGTGTGGTTGTGATGAGATGGTTTATTCCTGACACGTAAAGCAGTGTTACATTTAGACTAAGGTTCTGTAATTTGTACTTAAATCCAAATCTATTAGACTAAAAGTAGTAATTTAAAATTTGTAGGATTGTGTTTCCCCCAGAAATGTACCAAAGTGGTTTCTGTTTTCAGTCTAAAATCACTGAGTCATTTAAACTGACCTGGTACATAAAAGCCTTCTAAGTGTTACTGTCTTCCTGTAAGCTTAACATTACAATTTTCACTAGGAAAAATTGGAAATTTAAAGGTGAAAATAAGAAGAAAAATGACAGAGTTAAATGCTTGTTGTATTGGAGTTCAGCACTGCTTCTTTAGAACTGAATTATTTTTGGTCTGCAACTTTTATTTGTCTTTTGGCTTTTAAATTTCAGGGCATTACATTCAAGCGCGTTGGTGTTCCTACTGCAACAGACATAATAAAGGCTTCCAGCAAAGATGCCATGAGGTGTGTTTGGGGACTCAAGCCCTGCTGTATCCTCCTGCCTTCTTCAGAAGGGCTGTTTGAATTATTCTTTACTGTCTCTTTGAACTTTCTCTTTGAGCACTGTTGAAATCTTGGGCTACTGTGATTTTTTTTCTATTCCAGAGCCTACTGGTGTATAAATTGTTCGTATTTTTTTGCTTTAACTACTTAGGTGCCTGGATTCTGTTCCTCAGACTGCTATTGAGTATTTCAGAGAATCTGCTCAGTTGCTGATAAAAGAGAAGGGACCAGTTAATGCTCTGGCTGCAGCCCTGGCCCATATTTCGGGTGCTACTTCCATTGAGCAGCGCTCACTGCTGAACTCGGATGTGGTAAGGAAGGGCCTGTGGCTTAATGCTTGTCTTGAAACTGGAAGGAAGCAACACACCTCTGTGTTGTGTGAATAGAGAATTATCTATCTCCTGACCATTTTGTTTAAGGACTACACTTTAGCCACTAGGAACTACTGGTTTTGTTAAAAGCAATAATGTAGTGGCTGTAAGGATACCTGGTGTCCTGAAACACTACCTACTTGAAGATTTAATTATAAACTGTAAATTGGCAGGTTTCTCCTGTCTGATATATGCTGAAGCTTATTCCTGTGCCTGAGTGGAACATGCCCCGTTTCTCTTTAGGGGTTTGTTACAATGATACTCCGTTGCTCTGAAGAAATAAGCAACATGAGCTATGCCTGGCGAAGGCTGCGGGAAGTGCTGGGCGATGATATTGATCGGAAGGTGAACAGGATGTGTTTCCTCAAGGGAAAAATGGTAAATGTCTGGTTTGTTTCTTTGATACTGGGCTCTTCTGAGTGCAGCCTTTTCTTAGCAATTGTCAGGGGAGCTGTTTGGTCTTTTTCTCTATTCCAGGCACTGTTGATGCTGGGCCTCAATCTGTTTTTTTAGTGCTTAGGGCTCTGCTGGCATGTTCAGGAGGTAGGATAATGCATGGCTGTGGGGATAGCAGAAAGGGTGCAAGGTATGAAGCGTGTTAACTCTGCCTTAATGACAAAACAGAAAAGTGTTTCTTAGGACAGTCAGTTCTAAAATTGCCTGCCTGTCAGGTGTAGAATTGTGGGCTCTCTTGTTTTTAGTTGCAGTCACTTAAAACGCTTACCTTGTATGCATTAAAATGATTCTTTCTTTTTAGGGTGTGTGCTTTGACGTTCCTGTGGCAGACCAAAAAGACATAGAGGTACGTTCATTGCAAATTCCGCGTGCAGCAGGCTGAAGGTGAAACTGGCTGGGCTGGGTTAGGCTGAAAACATTATGTAGCCTTTATCCTGCCTTTCCTAGTGGCAAAAGGGATTGCTAGGGAGGAATTGAAGAACACAACAAGCTCACAGTGTTTCTTTTCTAAGGCATTCCCCTGTGACCAAAAGTCTGTAACTTGAAACATTAGCACTGACAAAAGTGGTGCTGGATTCATCTTTGTAGGCTGCAAGCTTTAATCCCCTTTTCTGTATTCCCTGCCTCTGGTTTTCACCCAGAATTCTCTCCACAGTAAAAGGAATTCAGATTTTTGCTTGGTAGCCATTAATATAACCAAAATTATTGATCCCTTCAGTTAGAAGCTTGAACCCCATACATCAGCTCACAATTTTACCTTTTCAGTTGGGCAGGTTTAATGATTATTACATACCCTGTGTCTGCATTCCTAGAATTTAACCTGCTGTGTCTGACTCCATTCCCACAGGCAAGGTGGGAAGATTCAAAACACTGGCGTTTGTGTGTGGCCACTGAATTACCAGAGCTGGTGGAGTCTGCACGAGGAGGAGGAGGAGGAGGAGGCAGTGGTGGAGGGAATGGCCGAAGCTTCTCCAGCTCCAGGAACGGTCGGCGTGGTGGCTCTGGTAGAAACAGGTTCAGGAGCAGAGGCCAGAAACGAAGTTTCAGCAGAGCCTTTGAACATTAACTTCAACAATTCAGAAGTGAGAAAAAAATGGGACTGAAGTATTTTATATTACATTACACTAGGCTGTTTCTGTGTGTCCGTACCATTGGAGAAAATACTTCATTAAGATATTTTTTTTTGTCAGTACTACTTTGCTCATAAACAAGGTTCTGTTCATTTAAAAAAAAAAAAAGTACAAAGGAAAAAAACCCAAAAAACCTGCAAGAAAAAAATAATTGTTTCTTTTGTTTCTCATATTGCTCTTTGAATCTTTCCATAATATGTCTGTTGCGTTCAAAACTGTAGCCTGGTTCACTGTATAATACATAGATCTGAATTGCTGCTCAAACCTGTACATTTTCTGACGAAATTAAATATTATTTTACAACTTCATATTTTGTTGTGACGTATTTGAAGCAGTATTTTATAGGTGGAGATGTGGGAAGGTGCCAGACTGGGGACTATGGCAGCAGGAGCCCTTGAAAGAAAAATAAATCCATTTGGTTTTTATTTTGTGGATTTGTCATGAAGCTCTTCTTTCCCTAAAACATAGTAGTTAGTTTCTGTCCCAAGTTATCACTCCTTATAAAATGAGGGTAGGAAAAGCAGTTTCAAAAGCATGAGGGGAAGCCTCCTGAGGAGCAGGACCTGTGAGGGAGACCCATAACCCTGTGAGTGTTGCAAAATGTGGAATATGTCATTAACATGTTGGTAAGGATGTTCTTCAGTGTAAGATCTTAGTATGTTTTCAAGCCTATCAGTGGAACGAATAGCAGCGGCCCTTACTCAAGGACATCCTGGAGCTAACAAGCTTTAAGGATAAAGTGAATCAGTATGTTGATGTGTACAGTGTTGGGTTGGCAAAATACTCAAGGTCTGCATATCCTACGGGTGAACAGTGTTTTAGTATTGTAACTAAAAATCAGGGCTGTGGGTCAGAAAGATGCCTACCTAGGGGGTCAAGTCCCTTTTCCCGAGCATGAGGAGACGTTGTCTGGGATCACTTAACTGGTATGGAAAGCACTAACCAACCCCTATGGCGGGGCTGTGCTGGGCACGTTGCTAACCCTGAATTTGTGTGTGAATGATGGTGGCGCCACACTTGTGCAACGCCACCGAGCACCCGGCCTTACGCAGCTCCGAAATCATTGGGGTCTCTCAAGAGTGTGACATTATCGGCTTGTTGCACACCGGGGAACGAGCCCGGTTTGGTGGGCAACCAGGGGAGCCCCGTGAGAGGAGCTGTGTGGAGAGCACCGTGAGGGGAGC